AAGGGAAGGCTGTGGGATTGTGTCCCCAAAGGACCTCTCAGACAGAGGTCCTTAGCATGCTACCAGGGTACTGCGCTGGCAGCCGGGCTTCTTGGGCCTCGGATGGCCGCCTGTGGAAGGGGAGGGGTAGTGAGCCACAGCTGGCGTGGTCTGAGCGGGTGGCTTCTCTCCCCAGTCTCAGTACAGTCTGACGAGAGCACAGCAGTCCTACAAGTCCTTGGTGCAGATCCACGAAAAAAACGGTGAGGCCGGAGCCGGGCCCGGAGCTCTGATGCTGGGCAACCCCAGGTTCTCACTCGGCCCGTAGCCAGGTCCCTCTGGGTTTCCAAGCCTTACCACCCACTCACCCACACCTGCCCACTCTCCAGAGAAGGCCTGGAGGTGGTGTCGTGGGCAGTCTTGGTGCTGCCCTCTTCCTGACCACCCTTTGAAAGACTCTTCACCACTCAGGTTGGGCTCTTCACTCTCCCTTTCCTTACAACCTCCAGGTAGGCAGCCTCCGCTTCCCTGCACCTCTCTTCTCGCACCTGGCAGCCTCCCTAGGACCTTCTTGCCTGGAGACGCTGCAGATGTCCACGGTGACGGGGACAGGGAGGGCGCACCTGGCCTGGACCTCGCTGACCTGGTGTGTTTCTTTGCAGGCTGGTACACACCCCCAAAGGAAGATGGCTAACCCTGGAGCGTCGCCCCTCCTCCTCCCCCAGGCACCACTGGACCAATACCTTTGAATGCTGTATTTGGATCTCACGCTGCCTCTGTGGTTCCCTCCCTCATTTTTCCTGGACGTGATAGCTCTGCCTATTGCAGGACAATGATGGCTATTCTAAACGCTAAGGAAAAAAACAAAAAAACAAACAGAACTGTTCCAAGTACTCAAGACTGACTACAGACCAACAACCACCTTGCTGGAACCCTTGCTAGCAGGCATTCTTAAAAAGAAACTCTCGAGCCTCCTTATACTGCTGGAAACTCAGCTGTGCTCCAGACTAGAGCCTCCTTACCTATGCTATGGATTTTTAATTTATTTTCTCTTATTTCATGTACACTGCTTTTTTTGGTTACAGTGTATGATGGATGTGTATGAAAAAAAATGTATCTTTGGGAAAACAATTACAGTTTGTTAATTTGAAGATGCTGGTCTTGACTCATCTTTATTTTTATTCCCACATCCCACCCCACCCCCATCCCCTGACTGCTTGGGAGGTGGGGGAGGGGTGCCAGGTCCACTGTGCTTTGGTAGCCATGAGGCTGTGCTCTGCTAACCCAAGAAATCTGGAGCTGAAGCACCCACCTGGCCCACCCCTAGGTTTCCTGAAGGCCTCTGCTGACTTACGGTGTAGCAGGCTGGTATGATGAACTTGATTCTTAGGACTGCTTTTCACTTCTAGTTTCAGAGACTTTTCAAATTTCTAAGAAACAGAAAATGTGGAGGCTCAAGAGGCTGCTTCATAGAAATCCTTTTATGAGAACTGAGGGGGCTGGGGCGCAGGCTCCTGCGTGTGTACATGGTCTTTTCTAATCACAGCCATTCGCTGTCTAGCTACAACTCTGCAGTGTGCTTTGGCTCCTCTGCCTCCCAGGAAGTGGCTTCTGACTGGCCCTGGATTGTGATCAGTGGTAAGCTCTGCTCACCTTCCTCCTGTCTCCTGCTTTATGGGGGTGTATAAGAGAGATGGCTCTTGAAGTAAGTTTGGCTGACTTGGAGAATTGTGGACCCCTTCAAGTCCTTCTTGTAAGATGCTGGTCCTACTAGAAATGGTTAGCTCTGAGGTGGGTTGTTCCATGACCTGTGTCCTTACCCCAGGCGTGAGGAACTGCTGGGCCAGGAGGAAAGTGGAGGGAGTCTGCGGGGCTGGAGCAGGTGGTGCTGTGCTGTATGTACTGCTGTTGTAAAAGTTTGGACGTGACCTTGCATATGGCGGGTGCTGCCCGTGTCTCCCTGTCAGGAAGCTTGCTTTGGGGCAGAGTGGGTAAAGATTGAAACAACAGAGGCCAGAAACAAGCTAAGACAGACCCAAGTCTTAGGAAACCCAGATCTGGGACCGCTGCCTGGGAACCTGTAGGAGGCCGGAGGAATCCTGTGATGCTTTAAGACAGCAATTTTAACTTGGCCCTTCTCCCCTCCCCCACCCCATCCCCAGGGATTCTAATGTCTTGCTGCTTTAGGTGAATGGAGAGTTCACCAATCCCATTCAATGCTGCTCCAACTCTGCCCATACCCACCTGATTAGGGGTGCTAATACATGCTGAGGTTGAGATAAAGAGGGGACCTAAGGGGAAAATTCATTCCATAGAGCTGAAATCTGGTTTTCAAGGCCTCCGCGGCTTTCTTCTGAATTTATCACCAGCCCTGGCTGGAATGTAGATTGTGTTTTTAGTAATGTGTACTGTGAGCTGTCCTCTGTATAATGTATTTTGTAATGTATTTTTCTCATCTACCAAAGGATGAAACAAATAAAGTTATTTAAATAGTTTGGCTCTAATAAACTTATTTATAAGACATAATGGGTTCATGTTCACTTGACATCAAGTAGATGTGCCCAGCTACTGCGGATCGTGAGACACCAGCCCCATGAGAATCTTCCATTTTTCTTGGCAAACCTCATATTCCTTTTATGACCTTAAAAAGGCCATATCATAGAAAAAAGGACTTTCTTCTCTAGTAGGAAGGCAGGAGAAACAAAACACTCTTTTTGAATGTACACGCGTATGTCCTGAACAGGGTTTGTATGGCCCAGAGCCCGCGGACTCGGTTTCTCAATCTCACAGCATCAGTGTTAGAGGGCAGGGAGGGGTGGGGTGGTGTAAACAGAAAGAAGTGTCCATCGCCCCAAAAGCGTGAAACATGTCAGTGTTTACTTGCCAAGATGGTGCTCACTAGCTCAATATTTTTTATCTGATTCTATATGGAACATCTGGAAAACGAGGCCTTGGGCCCTTTCATCCTCCAGAATCTGTTAGGGTGGCTCCTATCATGAAAGGAAGAGACAGGAAAAGGCACGCAGGCTTCCTCAGGTTTCTGACCTGGTGGGAGCTCCCTGTGTTCCTTTAAAACGTTCACGCCAACTTGGGGGACTGTGACCAAGGAATTCCTACTCGTTTTGGGAGGTGAGCTGGAAGTGAAGGCAAAATGGGAATCTAGCCAATGCTGGGCACACACAGGCCTTGTCCACTGAGGGACGTGAGGGCAGGCAGACGGGAGAGGGATGGTGCTGGATGTACCCCGTACTTACATTCTTCACACTTAAGATGTGATGGGAATAGAATCGGACCCTCAGCAGCCGCCCAATCCCTTGGTTACTCCGGTGTGTTCATCTAAAGGGATCCCAGGCCCAGGAAGCGGGCATGCCAGGACCCCAGGGGTGGGAGGAGATATGAGGCAGCTCCCACTGAATTCTAAGCACCAGTGACCCCTCTGAGGAGTCAGTGAACCCCTTGACATGCACTTAAAATGCAAAACACAACAAGCCGGGCACAGTGGCACACACCTGTGATCCCAGTGGCACAGGAGGATCACCAGCTCAAAGCCAGCCTCAGCCACTGAGCACGGCCCTTAGCAACTCAGTGAAACCCTTTATAAAAATGAGACACCAGACGGCTAAGGGTGTGGCTCGGTGGTTAGGAGCCCCTGGGTCCCATCCTCATCCCCCACGCCTCAAAAAAACAAAAAAGGAAACCTTAGTGGCTCCCGGTAGCACAAAGGAGGGAGGCAAGGAGCTGGGGTCACAAGGAAAGCCCTCGGCCGCAGACCAGCTCCCCAACAAGTCTCTGCTAGTTCCGGCTCCTCCCCTGCCTCCGGAAAAGAAGAGATGGTCAAGAGCGAAAAGGTGGGAAAGGGGGAGGCCAAGCAAGAGCAAGGAGGAGGCCTTATTTTTGTTGTTAAAATAATTACAGGGATCTGGGATTTTGCATCCTCTAATGGGAAATCCTACTGGGGATAGAAAATTGTGCTCACTTGGCTCTTGGGAATTTCAGTTAGAGAGACGGAGGTTAAGACGCAGACGCGGAGCTGAGGACAAAGGCACACGCCTGTAATCCCAGGGATTCCAGAGGCTGAGGCAGGAGTACCACAAGTTTGAGGACAGCCTCAACAACTTGAGCAACTCAGTGAGACTCTGTCCCTAAAAAAGAATGCTTTTTAAAGGGAATAAAAAAAAAAAAAA